AGTTTTGAAATTTCAAGTGTATTTTGTTAGGCCCGATTTATTTAAAGCAGCACTGCATATTAATATAAAATAATTCAAAGGTTGAATAGCTTGCTTAAGAAAAAGTTGAACGTTTTGCTAACCAATTCAGTCAATGAGTCAGCCCGGAATAAAACATGGTTTTCATAAATTGAATAGCTTGCTTGGAAACACTTTGCAAGTTGAATTGGTCTAAGAATTAACGTGATGTTTTTATAGGTTAAATAGCTTGCCTAGGAAAAATTTAAGAGTTTTGCGAACCAATACATTCGTTGAAATTACTTGAAACTTTTCAAAGTTTCGTAATTGTAATAAATAGCTCGAGTAAAAGTTAATTTTTTGGATACCGATTCAGTCCACGAAAAAACTTAGAATAAGTATCATAACTTGAAAAATTTTCTCAGAAACACTTTGACAACCGAATCGGTCTATGAAATCACTTGAAACAAATTATGGGTTCAAAAGCAAGCTTATGAAAACTTTGAACGTTTTGGGAACTACAAAATTGTTGAAACAATTTGAAGTTTTTGATAAATAGAGTTTTTGCAGTCCAAATTGGTACATGAATAATTGTGGAACATTTTAAAGCTTGAATGACTTGCTTGGAAACAGTTCTCAAACATATTTTGTTTAGAAGAAACCGAAACAGTTCATAAGTTGAAAAGCTTGCTGAAGAAAATTTGAATGTTTTGCGAACCAATTCATTCAATGAAATCGCTTGGAAAAGGTCAAGGTTTCATAGCTTGGATAGCTTGCCTACGAAAAACTTGATTTTTTGAAGATTTTTCTTAAGAATTGTGTCTAAGAAGTTAATTGAATTATTTCCAAAATTGATAGCTTGAACAGCTTGCTTGCAAACACGTCGCAAACCGATTTGGTCTATGAATTAACTTGATATAATTTATCGGTTGAATAGCTTGCTTAAGGAAAAATTGAATGCTTTGCGAACAATTTAGTCGATGAAATACCCTGGAATAGTTTAAAGTTTTTAATTATTCAGACAGAACGAATAAACCTTGAAACTTCAAACGCGTTTTCTTCAAATCGGGTTGAGATTAGAAAAAAGATATCGGAATAAATGTTGCGCAAAATTTCATAAAAAAAAATATGGTGTAGTTTTTGGTAAGAAGTGCATAACCAAAGCTTTACCTCAAAAATAGGTCATTTTGGCTTTTTCTAATTAATTGAAATTTGCCTTGAAACTACCTGGATGATTGTTGAAAAATAAATATCAAAAAAGCTTTTTACACAGCACAACAAATTTCAAGAGAGGGTAATGTTACCAGAAATCTATATAATAGGATTTTGATAGACAAAGAGTTCTGGTGAAATTCGAAGCAACTTTGATCTCTTTATTTTTTGTCAAATCTCAACCCGATTTGACAAAACGAGTTTGAAGTTTCAATTTGTGGTCTTTTTGTGTAGATAACTCTAACCAAAACTGGGTGTGAATACACCTAACTAGTTAGTGTTAGAGTAAAATTTTTATTTAATGAAAACAAAACCAAAGTGTTTTGAGGAAAAACTTGGTTGCGACTTTTGCAAAATAGTTCGCATCAAAAAATTTGGTAAAACTCTGAGCTCTCTAGAAAATTACGGACGAAACAACACGTGGATCAGGAACTGATATAAAAAAAACTTGTACTGTTTAAAAAATACCTATTTTCATTTCTTTATCATTTTTATGTCTTGGAAATCTGTTCAAGTTAACTAAATCTATTCCTTGAATATTCTCTGAATAGTTTGCAGCAATTAATTTCCTTTGTAGTTTTAAGGGTGCGAATTTTTTGTCCAAAAGGGCCAGCGAAAAAAAATATTACAAAAACAATCTGAATTCACTGTAGAAGAGCAACTCTGAATTAACTGTAAGACAGCAATTTCGAATTCACTGTAAAACAGCATATTAAAAGCTATCCTTTTGTGGCACTTTTTCAGGTCGTGAATGAAAATGAGTGGAAAGGGCAGGAGCGATAGAGGTGGAAGGAAGGGGAGGCTGGAAGAGGTTTTAGCATCCAAGGGGGGTGTGAATAAAGTACCAGCGAGATGAGGGGACAAACCGTACCGCGAGGAGATCACCACGTAAAAAACAACAGACCATCTTGAACTCGCTGTTCTGGGCGATTCCATTGTAAATGGATTCTTTATCAAGAACGCAAAGGTTGTGACTTGTCCCGGTGCGCAGAGTCACCAACTACCCGAGAGGAAGATATTGGACAATTTTAGTCTTTTAGGAAATAAGAAAATCGCGATTCTCGGCGGGGCAAACACTATTGCATGGAGACACGGCTCAATACATCAGCCAGACGAGTTCAGTGACCAAATGAAGGATCTAGTAGAAATGTGCAAGAATGAAGGCTTTCAAGTAGTTTTAATGGAAGTTCCATGGAGGAGGCACCGCGAAGAAGAAATCAAGAAGATCAACAGGCAATACGAAAATATTGCAAAGAAAGCGAAATGTGAGTTCCACAGATACCGACGGTTCTCAGAAGCCCACATAGACAAGAACGTTGGGGTGCACCCAGCCACGGACCACATCCAAATCCTGGCCAAGGAAATCTATCAGGCTCTCCAGAGGCTGTCCACTGATAAGTCCAATGGAGGACATACTAGTGGGGGCTCGGGGACCTGACTAGTTCCGGAGGAGGCATCCAGGTCTCGAACGAGACGTAACGGAGAGACGACCACGACGACGACGACTGATACAAAAAAACTTGTACTGTTTAAAAAATACCTATTTTCACTTCTTTATCATTTGTATGTCTTGGAAATCTGTTTAAATTAACTAAATATATTCCTTGAAAATTCTCTGAATAGTTTGCAGTAATTATTTTCCTTTGTAGTTTTTTTCAGACAGACTGAAAATAGTTAAGGATGCGACACTTTTTGTCCAAAAGGGCCAGCGAAAAAAATTACAAAAACAATCTGAATTCACTGTAAAACAGCAACTCTGAATTCACTGTAAGACAGCAATTCTAAATAACTGTGAAGCAGCATATTAAAAGCTATCCTTTTGCGGCATTACTATAAACCGATAGTGTCATCAAGTTCCAACACTGTCTTGTTTTTTTTGCGGCTTGATTATCAAAAACTTGGTAACATGTATGCGACTAAAAACATATTTGAACATATTCTGATGGGATTATTTTTGTGAGGTAAAATAATAAGCTATGAAAGGGTGGCGTGATTAATTTATTTACCAATCATATTATTATATTATAAACCAATTATTGTTATTAGCAAAACTAATATCAAAATTTTAGTAAGTGATCATTTTGATTTGCCATTTTGCGATCGCTAGCAATTTTTTCGGCTTTCCACGATGTTTTAAAACTCAAAAATTGCCAAAATTTGCCAATATAAAACAAAGACTTTTGAATCTGGTTGATTCAAACTGAATGCAACACGGGCTCAAAGCACATCATTGCTAAGTTCTGCTTTGTTTTTTTTGAATAAAAGATTTTTAAGACATTCTCAAACTCTCTTTAACCAACAAAACTAATCCTTGAATGCTGTTTTTGCAAAAAACGCGTTTGATTATTTACAGAGGAAAAACACTTTGGTTTATTTGATTTCTATTGTTTCCTTAACAAGTTTTTCCAAATTGTTCGAAAGTTTTTGATTTTACCTTCTCAGATTACTTTTTTTCATCGATTTTGATCTCCTCCGCTCGGGGTTTCGACTTCAAAAAATGTTGAAAAAAAAAATTCTAAATTGCGTAGAAAGTTAGTTTTTGCCAGCTTTTTCAACAACTAGAACTCTCGGAAATCATAATTTTTACGTGTTTTTATAATTCAAAAACATTAAAAACAATTCAGAGATCAGAAACTTTCAGATAAATACCGTATTGTTCGGATCTTTATTTTCTAAACTAATTTTAAAAAACAGGTTATTGATTTTTTTTTGTTTTTGGTTTTTTGAAATTTGTTTTAAGCACTAAATTTTAATGACATTTTGTTTTTCGTCTGAAATACCCATTGGGCGTAAAATCAGGTTTTTAGTTCCAGTTTTTACAATATGTCCTATTTATCGTTCTTAATTTATTTAATTTATTGTTTTTAAGAATTGTTGGTTTTTGCTTAAAATGTCTTACTTGGCGTACAAATTCTGAGTTATGACTGAATCAGACATCGATCAGCTCTGACAATTTATGATCAGATATGCTAGAGAAAAAAACGCCAAACTTGCTGCAAGGTATGTCACAAGACATCAGCATGCTTGAAATAAACATGCTTCAGATCCTTAGCAACTCTGAAAAGTCTCCGATTTTACTGCAACCATATTTGGTTTCGATTATCAACCTAGTTGAAGTAATTCTACCTTTCTTTTTGAAATGCGAGAATTCTTCTATTTCAAGATTTTAAAATCTAGTTCAATCTTGGCTAGTTTGAATTTGACTTTCAATTTTTAGATAAAATTTCAATTAGTGTGAAAAAATTTTTGGGGAAAAACGTCTCGTGTCAAGTTCTAAATTGTTCTTGTAAAGAGATGCAATACAACAGAAAAACTAATTTAACCGCGTGCTTTAATAATGTTTTGACGCCAAAACACTGATTGTGTGTCGGCTAATTGTTAATTTTATCTCTAAAGTTCTTGTAAAGAGATGCAATACAACAGAAAAACTAGTTTAATCGCGTGCTCTAATGATAGTTTGACGCCAAAACACTGATTGTGTTTTGGCTAATGTTAATTTTATCTTTATATATCAAAATGTAGCGCCCTCAGACAAATTATAACAATTTGAAGATTATTAATTCAGATTGATAAGTATTACAAAATATACTTTTGTGGAACAAAAATCAAAATTGAGAATTAAACTCAATTAACAATTTTTCTTTAAATGTCTACTTGATTATTTTAATTCGGAGTCGTTTATCAATAACTCAGAGTAAAACAGAGCACTTAATCACGACACATATCAATTCTCAAAGCAAAGAGAAAAATAAGAAGGAACGATTTTCCAGTTTTTCTATTAACAGCTCGAAACTAAGTTGGTCGAAAATTTTGCTACAATTTGTGAGGTAAGAGTTTTTGGTCTGAACAATTATAGTCTTGCGCTTTGAGTATTAGAAGTTTAATATAGTATGTCAAAACTTCAGCTTATTTTACTTTTTAATAGATATTGCTTCAATTTTAGCAAAAAAAACTGAATATTTTTCACCTGTGAAATTTTAGCTTTTGAAAATTCATTTAGTTTAAATTCTTATGCGGTTAACTTCTACAAAACATTCAAAAAATACCTGGAGTTAACTGGAGTCGCTGAAAAACATTCCAAGTTTAGTTTTTGTCCTTATCCTCTCACACTCAAACAAACAATACATCTAAAAAACCTCTAATCAAAACACATTTTGAAAAAAAAAAAACTTTATGCAAAATTGCTGCTGTATGCAGATTGTTTCGACCACAATATTTGTCACTGAAAATCAGGAATAGCTGTTTTTTCATGTGTTTTTTAAATCAAAAATTTTTGTTTGTTAATGCACGTGAAGAGCGGAAAAGGACAAACTCGATACGTTATTAGTGGCTTCCATTTGTACATCAACAAAACCCGTATAGGTGAAAATATTCTGATTTCTAGAAAACTCAACAATTTTTTTTTTAAATTTGTTTTTCAAGGTTATAATTTTTGAGACTTTTGAATCTATGAATGGAAAACAAGATTTTTGAACGTACGCTACCAATCTTCTTTTTTATAGCTAAAATATTGATTTTTCATAGCTAAATTGAAAAACTTTTGCACTATTTGCTGGCTTAATTGTTGGCTTGCTTCATGTGAGATGGAAATAAAATCATTTAATCAATTTGGGTGTTGTTAACTTTAGACTTCCTTCTACAAATTTTAAACTAAACATTCAGTTAAATAAACTGATTTTGCGTGAGAAAGTCCAAAGATAACGGAAGTCAAGTGTTGCCTAGTACCCAAATAAAGAAAAAAACCTAAGAACGCGCCTAAGTATGAATTATAAGAATGTGTGTAAAAAACGTGAACCTTTATTAACAAATTTTACGCGCAAACTTTGAAAAAAAAACATATATCTCTCCCTTTGCACATCGCCAGAGATTGACCTAACCATTTTTATCAATCAATTTTTTTTACTTAACTAAACTTAAAGTTGCTTGCAGCTAAAGGAAAAAATAAATTTTAGACCAAATCAAGGTCAAAATAATAATCATTACAATTCATAATCAGTAAAATCATCGGGTTCATAATCATTATTAGTTGGAAAAAAGTGGTAAGCTGATCCAAAAAGTATGGCTTATTATTTTCACTTAAGTAAAGCTTAATTTCAAGCTATTATTTCATGCATCTTTTTTTCATGCTTTTTCAAGGACATTTTTATGAAATCAAGATGAAAAACGGGAAAAAAATTGGTTCCAAAGCCAAAACTTTCATAGAACTCAATGTTTGAGATACATGCGAAAAATGTGATTTTCTTCAATTGTGAACTTTGGTAGCCGACAAATTTAATACAATTTCCGAAACAAAGGTTTTCATTTGATATAGGATAATACGGAAAATTCAAATTGCTAGATGGTAAATGACTATTCAGAAAGTCAAGCTAAAACGTCATTTTCAAAAAAGTCTCCTAGAGCAGATGGTTTTCATTTTTTTAACCTCTTTGTTCTTAATTAGTCTTAATTACTCAATATCATCATCACAAACTCCAAATAATTGAAAAGGGACAACTTCAGTACCTTTTTTGTAAAATCAAAAGTTCAGAAAATATCGACAAAGAAAAAGCTAAAACTTGAAAGAAAAAAAATTTATATTGTGAACAAAATAGTTCAATATATCGAAAAATAGCCAGATGCTATTTTTGAAATCGACGGTAAATTTTAATTGTATTTTTAGTTCCAACTTTTAATTATACAATAATATTACTGAAATTATCAAACCAAAAATGAGTAACCCACAAACAAAACGGCAATAACAGACTGGACTATGTGTGAATGAGTGGTGAAACACTTTAACAACACTTGGAAAAAGAAACTTTTATCCCAGATCCACAGAGCAGATTGAAAAAATTGTCTTATCTTTTTTCTCAGAAAAAGGAGCAATTAAAAGTTGTAACTGGAAGTAAATTAGTGACTTGAGTAATTTTAGGATAGTTTTTGGACAAAGAGTTAACATCATGAAACACTATCTAGCAGTAAAAAACAGCCGAACAAAAGTTAAATTATCTGAGCATTGAGACAGAATTGTCATTGATAATTTTCTGAGGCAAAGTGGTCATCTTTTAATTGGCTTCACTAAATAGCCTCTACTTGCAATACTTGATGCCTCATCTAAATGTTTCAATCGTTGTTACCGTCTCTAAAACAAATTTTTAAAAATTGTTTGCTTTTTTTGTTCTGGTAAACAATATGTCTTCCAGTAAAATTTCTTCAATAGCAAAAAAATGCAAAATAGCCAAAAAGCCACTTAATTCAAACAAAAGTAGTTTTTTAAGCTTCTTACTTTTATGACCATTTCACAAAATGAAGAGGAATTATGTACCAGGTCTGGTTTCTTCTCAGTTTTCACTGTTGTTAGGGATCCAAGTGCAGTAAAACATAAAATGTTTTTTTTTGTGATTCGGATTTAAAAATGGAAAAGTTTATATTTTATTCCTCGCATACAAATGAGCAGATGTTTTTATTCGTTTCCAATTAACAGTTAAATTGCCAAGTAAAAGTGTGAGCCAAAAATCAATAAAGCGTTCTTTGTGCCAGCTACTGAATAGATAACCTCTGGAACTTGTCACCTTTCTGAAAGAAAAACTTTTAATTTCGAGAGTTTTGTAAGCCCAATCAAATAGCTTTTTTGTTTTGAGGTATTTCAGCAACGGACTTCAGAAAAACATGGAAGATGCAAATTATTCTATGGAGGTTCCGATAATTGACGTAAGTGAAAACTCAACGGGACTAATTTTTCCGCCAGAAATTTTTGTTTCAAGAAGAGAAGATTCCCCTGTGTGGATAAAAGCTACAAACGGTGTCGTTTCAACGGTCTCTCTTCTATCACAGGCAATTGTGATTTTGATTGCAAAAGGGCTAGAAGGAGACTATTCTGCGAAAACTTTGATGTGGGTGCAGGCTATCTGCGAAACTTCGAAGCGACTCTTCAATACAATCTTGACATTTCAAAACCAAATACGTGAGCAACAACAGATTTGAAAAATTTGACGAAAAATTTGCAACAATCAATCTATTAAAAAGTAAATCTAAAATTTTAGGTTTTCATAATAACTGTAACTATTTTCTGTCAACTTGTCAAATACTACAATTAATAGACTGATATAAAAATCTCAAGCATAGCCGGTTGCTATGCAAGTAGCACAGAATGATACAAATAGACTGATACAAAAACGAACAAGTAAAGCGTGATACAAAAACAAACAAGGATAGGCTGTTGCTATGCAAGTAGCACAGGATGTTCCGACCAAAGTCTTAGAAAAAAACAACAAAGTTTTTGAAATAATTGTCTTTTTTTTGCCGTTGCTTGATAAAAAAGCTGACCAAAAAAATGACGATTAGGTATCTTTGGACAGCCATACTAAAATAGCAAATAAAAAACAACAATTTTTGCAGAAAAATTTCTTGAAAAACGAAAAAATAATAATAAAAAAAGAACCACGTTAAAAAAGTTTTCCAATTTTTTAGTGTGGTTCAATCTATGACTGTAAGACCTTTAATATGATATATCACTCATCCCAGTCAAATCATTATTTGTTGTACCTAATTTTGCGTCAAAAACAAACTAAAAACAACCCGAATACTAAGTTTTTGCCCTGTTTCAATGGTCGGAACAGAAAAACTACAACAATTAGAGGTATATCTTTTTATTCAGGTTATCAATCATTTCTCTGATCTTTTGTTGGCAGGACGAGAATAAGCGTTTCTTTTTTCAATGCCAGACTGTCTTATTTTGAAACTTGCTCACCGTGCCCGACAATAGATTTCAAAAGTTGCAAATGAATCAGCTCCTAAACAGCTTTCATGCTGGCTCAAACAACATCACTGATATGTTGCTATCAAAAAAGTAAATCCAAAAAATTTAAGTTTCGCTCATAGTTTTAATTGCAAAATTAAAAAACAACCAAGGTTTTTGGCCATGTTTTTCAATGTCAAAACTTCGAGATATAAAGCAAAATTGCTCTGTGCAAATATGTGTCTGCTGAAATTTGGATGAAAAAAAACTATAAAATTTTCCATTATTGACAGAAATAAAATAAGCATGCTATTAACTGTAACTTTTTTATTATTCTTAATGGTAGGTAAGCCCCTGGAGAAGCCAAATCAGTATATCCGATATCCGATACAACGACGATAGTCAAAAATTTCCAAGTATCATAAAACGTTCGCATTACAATTTCCTAACGATTTTTTAATAAAAAGAAACAATGACAATCGATAGAATTTTTTGGCTTAATAACTGAAAAGTGTAAGTCTAAGTTATCATATTATCATAGATCATAAGCGATCTACTTCTAGAAAAAAATGGTTTTTAATAAACAAACAATTTAAACAGCGACGACTAAGCGGAAAGCTTATAAGCTTGACGCAGCTGTCTATCTACTGTTCACTTGTACCGATATGGGGTGTTTCTCTTTTTTTAATTTTTTTCCATTTTACTCTTACTATATTTGCGAGAATCTAGTGCACCGCTAAATCCAATCTGGAGATATAGTTATTCCATTGTTTGTCTCTGCGGAGATTGTCCGTTGAATTGCGAAATGACCAGAAGAAGTTTTCTGCGGAATTCTTTGAAGTATTTTACTCGTTATCAAAAAAATAATTCTAAGAAATTGTAAGGTTGCGTAACTGGGTAGTAGTACTTAAATTGAAAAAAGTGAGAGAAAAAAATGAAAAAATTCAATTGTCTCTTGAATTTAGAGTGCTGAAAAAGCAGGCCGACTCATTAGCTCGAATTTTTCTGGACCTACTACTCTCTCATTATCTGTGCTTGATTTTTTTGATATTTAAAAAAAAACAATATATTTTTACCAATGGAATTTTTTCACGTGCCTTACCTACTTCAATATTCAGAGCAGTCAGGGATTCATCAGATAAGAGCGGCACAAACAAAACGCACATTCCACCAGACTGGCGTCGTCGCTAAATTTTAAATACCCTTGATCAACCGTTAAGCTTACTAAGACTTTTGGCCTTTTTTCAATGATAATGAAAACTGAAAGAAATTAAACAATCAGTTAAAAAATAACTAGTGAAAAAATTAGGTTCGACTGTTAAATCTTTCAGCTTAGTTACTGAAAAAAAGGTGATCCAAATGTTAAAAAGCATACTAATCTTAGGGTGTAGTCGGATAAAAAGTGTCCTTTCGAATCTTATGTTAACAGTTCAATCAACAGATTTCATATCAGTTGTTGTGATTCAGTATTTTTAGTATGTTATAACCTTGACCTCTATTACCTAATTACGTACCAGTCAATGTTAACTCTACGAAGTCCAGTGGACTTCGACTCACTAGTTGCTCTTTTTAGACTACAGTCGGTTTTAATTCAACCAATACTTTTATTCTCTTTTAACTTTATTTAGATACAATAGTTACCAGTGGTACATCTTAACTCTTTATTATGGCGCAGTCAACAACTGATTCGAACCTGAGGGGAATACCCGCCTTTTCGCCGAACCACACGGTTGAACCCAACACCCAATGGAACAATTGGATAGACCAATTCCATTTGGCCATTATCGCGAAGGAAAACCTAGACTTAGATAACCTCAAAGAACCAATGGAAGGGGAGACGACGTTACCGATCCTAGAAGGTGCCCAGGAGTCAGAAACTGACCAACAGAGGAAAGCCAGGGAGGCCAGGAACAAAGAAACAATGCGAGTCTACGAACACGCTGAAGATAAAAGACTAGCAGAAGAAAAGAGGAAATTCGGAGGAATGAGGAGATACGAGGCCGATAAAAAAGTAAGGTCAATCCTATACTTGGCCTTAGGAGCGGAAGGCAAAAGAGTTTTCGCCCAGAAACATCCAAGGGTAAAAATCCTAGGAATCTCATTCAAGGAATTTTACGAAATGCTAGAATTGGCTTTTATCAAACCAACCAACATAACATTTGAACGATACAAATTATTGAGCAGGAAACAAAAGGATAGAGAATCCTATGAACAATTTTGGGGTGCGTTATCAGACTTGGCGAGATCATGTGAAATTGGAATTAATGCAGAACAGGAGTGGATTAGAGACGTATTTATTTTTAACATGAAAAACTGCGACTTACAACGTAGACTACTTTCGGAAACTCTCAATCCATTGGATGCACTAAACCAAGCAATAATTGACAAAAAAGGCTACTATAACCACCTCAAACTGACCAATATGACTAGATCTTTCAACACGACAGGAAATAGTGGGAGAGGGTATAAAAACTTCAACAACGTTAAAAAGGAACCAAGCTTAAACATAGAAAGATCAAATACTTGCATGAAATGCGGGAATGCGTTTACCAAAGGTCATCTGAATGTGTGTCCTGCGAAAGAAATCGTGTGTAATATTTGTAAATATAAAGGACATTTTGGAAGACTTTGTAAATCGAAAGGAAGAAAACCCGCTGTAAATACTGTAGATGAAGCTGTAAATAGTCAGAATTGTTCATATTCCCCAGAAGATCTTCAAATGAGAAGCGAAGAAAAGTTTTGTGGAGTAATTAACGCTTGGACTGAAGAGGGGATAAGTGATAACGATGACTATTCCGTTCTCAACATTAGAACAATCTACGATACCAATGGTTTGGAAACCAAGAAACTTGTCAACATCGGTTTGGGAGACGACGCGATAGTCAACTTGATCATTCCAGTGGATTCGGCAAGCCCAGTGAGCTTCCTGAAACAAAATGTACTTCACGAATTGAAGCTGAGAAATCCACAGTTGAAGTTTCAGCCAGTTGAGAAGAAAACGAGGGAACTATACTGCGGATTCACTAACGACACAATCAACATCATCGGGAAGGTGGTAGTGAGGTTACAATCCAATGGATGGACCGCGGACGAAACCCCATTTTTTATCACTTCTGGACATGAGAGGAACATTCTGGGTAACGAAAATCTCCCGAGAATTGGAATAGAGATAGCCCAACGACAGCCTCTACTACCCGTCAACAACATATCACGCACAGAATTGTGTAAGTTAAATAATTATTCAGATACGACCCTTAATCTGTATCATAGGTACAAAGCGCTATTTAACAGAGTGGGAAAAATACCTTCGGACAGAAAAGTTACTCATTTCCATTCCCCATTCAAACATATCCAAACCAAAGGTAGAAGAGTTCCCTTACATCTACTCGATAACGTAAAAACGGAACTAAATAGAATGGAAAAAGAGGGGCATATCATAAAGTTGAACAAATGCGATGAAGATTGTTTTATAAGCCTAATTGTGATTACAAGAAAAAAAGACGGTAGCATCAAGTTGGCATTAGATTCGAAACTATTAAATAATCAGATATTCAAGAACAAGTACCAGATACCAAACATACATGAACTGATCGATAATATTGCTCTTCAACTGTCAAGCAAAGAGTCAGGGGAAGTTTGGTTTAGTAATCTAGATCTAAAGAACGCATACAGCCTACTACAATTATGCACAGACACTAGCAAACAGTGTAACTTTAGTATCGTGGGGGGCGAAACCACTGGAACCTATAGGTTTTTAACTGGATTTTACGGATTGGGCGATATGCCAAACGAATTCCAGAGGGTAATGGATTCTTTATTGAAAGACATTCCTTTTACCAATTGTTATAACGACGACATTTTAATAGCTTCGAAAGGTTCATTAAATGAACACAAAGCGATACTAACAAACTTTTTAAACATTTTGGACAACAAGAACATGGCGGTAAAATGGGAGAAATGTGCATTCTTCCAAAAAGAAATAGAGTGACTAGGTTTCAAGATATCAAAATCGGGCGTGAAACCATTGGTGGGAAAGTCAGATTCGATTAAAAACCTACCAAACCCCAAAAACATATCTGAACTTAGGTCTTTCTTTGGATCGATCAATCAAAATATGAAATTCGTCCCGAATTTGTCCGCCCTAAGTTCCCCCCTACGACCACTTCATGTGAAGAAATCAGTCTACCAATGGAATGACGAACATACTAAAGCATTTGAAGAACTAA